CTTCTTCCTTCCTTCCTTCCTTCCTTCCTTCCTTCCTTCCTTCCAAACAAACAAACAAACAAACAAACAAACAAACAAACAAACAAACAAACAAACAAGCGAATGAATGAATGAATGTTTCTGAATTTTAATTAAGGTGCTGTTTTGTTATTTTCATGTAGTTGTTGATTTTACTGATTGGTTTGGTATTTTTTAAAGGTGTTGTTTTTTAAGGGTGTTGTTTTTGGAGATCCTTTTGTATACTGAAAGGTGGGATGTAAATATTGTGGTTAATAAATACACTTGCCTAATGTGCTTCTGGTTGCAGATGCAGTGATTTTGAGCAGGAAGTCTCCTAGTTTGTATTTATTTTGCTGCACTAGTTGTATCCTAAATTCTCAGAAGTCATCCTTTCAGAAAGTCTATCTGTACTGGCAGTAATAAATATTAAAATACTACACATTAATACAAGAAAGATCAAACTAGCAGACACTTTTCTGAAATACAAAAACTCCAGGTTCTCGTGATATCTGAAAACCTTCCTAGATTCTTGCCTCTATCTGTTGCTTTCGCTCCTTTATTTCTGTGGCCACAGAAAGAAGGGCCCAATGACGGACTGGATCAACTGCATTCTTTACCTTTTCTTTTGTTAATCTCAGAGATGACACCCTTGGGCAGGTTGCTCCTTCTGAACCTTTGTTCTCAGTTCTAGAAAATGCAAATTATAATAAAAGCCTGTTGGGAAGCCATGAGGAAACCATTTTCATCAGATGAAACTATTTTCTGACATAGGTATTATATCTATTAGGGAAAAGCTTATTCTGGGTCCTCTTGTTATAAAATCCCCCCCCCATGTTTGTGGTTGCATTTGCATGCATTAAGAATCCATGATGTGTCATGCCTTCCTGTCATAGATACATGCAGCAATATAAATAGGTATGCACTGGTCATGCCAGACTGTATACAGTGGTGCCCTGCATGATGATGATAATCCGTTCCATAGAAATCGCTGTTTAGTGAAATCATCATCATGCGAAAACCATTTCCTCATTGGAACGCATTGAAAACTGTTTAATGCATTCCAATGGGGAAAATGCATCGTCATCCTGCGAAGATCGCCCATAGGGCAGCCATTTTGCGAAGCGCCAATCAGCTGTTAAAATGGCTATCCTGTGAAGCATCGGTCCCGAAAACATAGGGAAGCCATTTTGCGAAGCTGCTGGTCAGCTATAAAAATCGTTGTCTTGCGAAAAAACGGTCCGTGAAGCATGGACCAAATCATCATCCAGTGAAAATCGCCGATTGGAATCACTGTTTTGCGAATCAATATAGCGATTGCAAAACCTCATCGTCATGCGGATTCATCATTTTAAGAGATTGTCATCTAGTGAGGTACCACTGTACATTTTTGTACACTCTTTTTTATTCAGTGGGATCATCGATGGAGAAGTGCAATGCAGATTCGTCGTTTTACGAGGTCGTCATCTAGTGAGGTACTACCACTGTACATTTTTGTACACTTTTTTATTCAATGGGATCATTGATGGAGAAGTGCAATGCGCCAAGCACTACTGAAACAAAGATTGTAACTATTTACACCTTTTAAAAGTGGTTTAAGAATCTGTTCTTAACAATCATCACCTGTATTGAACCTGAGAGAATATGGAAACACATGTTTTCTGCTAGAGCAAGCCCAGAAATAGTGTTCAAATGAGCATACTCTCAAGGACAGCACTGAAATAACATAGCTGAATTGGGTGCCTATGGCTCTCCTCCAGATAAACAGTCTTGTATGTTGGTGTTTGAGAGCTCTCTCTGCTGATACTCTGAATGCAGATTTTTGTGTACAAGAGAAAGCTGATCTGCAGAAGATCTTTTTTCCTTGTTCAAATCCTGAAGCTGTGGGTGTTTCCAGGGGGGCATTTCCTGTGAATTCACAGAATAACAGGACTTCAGATAATGGGTTGTCTTCCACTTGTATCAAACTGTTCTCCACTGCTTCATCCATATTTGATCCTGACTACAAACAGACACACACACACAGATAAATAAGCAAGAAAAGGAGGTGTGAATTCACAGAATAACAGGACTTCAGATAATGGGTTGTCTTCCACTTATATCAAACTGTTCTCCACTGCTTCATCCATATTTGATCCTGACTACAAACAAACAGACACACACACACAGATAAACAAGCAAAAACAGAAAAGGAGGAATTGCTGCACAATGCTTTTTGACAGATAACTCTTGAGAACTGTGTTTCTGGAAGAAGCACACTTCACTACACAAAATACTATTATGATCCACTCCAAGACAACAGAATCTTATCTTAAAGATATTTTTTTATAAAAGTAAGAGGCTGCTTGTTATGTTATCTCCAAGTACAAAACAAAGACACTGAGGGCATAGCTGATAGCGCTCCAACCAGTGTCTCTTATATATAATCTAACAGAGGTGATACAGATACTCTAGAAAGGCCACATGTTCAGCTGAAAGAACACACACCTGCCCCTTGTCTTCACTACCACAGCCATATCTAGAGCAGAGTGACTGAGGCTTTGATCCAGGGCCCTGGAACTGAGAAGGCACAAAAATTTACTGCTGGAGTGGAGGACGTCCATCTGTTGGCATTTGCTGCTGGCAGCATACAAACCCCCATGCTCCAAATGGGTGCACCACCTCTGTCAGCTCCTGCCCAGGCACAACACAGGCAGAATCAGCATGGAACTGCTATGGCCGTTGCACACTCAGACCCAGACATCCCTCCCCATTCTAGATTCCTCTCCCTACATATGACAATCACACATGAATCAAGCTCAGCCAATAGGGCAGTGAATCACCAGGTGCCAACATTGGTACTTATGGCTCTGTTCAAGTGACATGTAGTTCCATCCTATGAATGCTTGATGATACACTTATTTAGCAGTACTTGGGAACTATCTACCACCACAGTCACTTTATCACAGTTTATTACTTATTGTGGTAAAACTCGAAAAGAGGAACCACATCAGGAAGTGAAATCTGTTGTGACTTTTTCCCATGTTAGTATTACCTTTCCTCACCTACATTACCACATCATCCTATGACCAAACCATGGGGAAGCAGCTTCCAAGCTATTGGAAGAACCCAGCTTGGAAAAGTTACCCTGAGTGGTACTTATGGCTCTGTTCAAGTGACATGTAGTTCCGTCCTATGAATGCTTGATGATACACTTATTTAGCAGTACTTGGGAACTATCTACCACCACAGTCACTTTATCACAGTTTATTACTTATTGTGGTAAAACTCGAAAAGAGGAACCACATCAGGAAGTGAAATCTGTTGTGACTTTTTCCCATGTTAGTATTACCTTTCCTCACCTACATTACCACAGCATCCTATGACCAAACCATGGGAAGCAGCTTCCAAGCTATTGAAAGAACCCAGCTTGGAAATGTTACCCTGAACTGGCTGTAATACCCCAACCACCATGGACAGAGGTCATGTTGACTGTAATCCCCTAAATGATTTTTTTCCAAGCTCTCTGTGGAAGTAAATAGGAGTACTGTAAATAGTAAAGGTCCATTTAGCTTAGTTCTGTGAAATTGACTGGTGGCCTTACTCTTTCGGGACTAAACATTTCCTGGCAATGTAGTCTATCGTCGTTTAGTCGTGTCCGACTCTTCATGACCCCATGGACCAGAGCACGCCAGACCCTCCTGTCTTCCACTGCCTCCCAAAGTTGGGTTAGATTTATGTTGGTTGCTTCGGTGACACTGTCCAACCATCTCATCCTCTGTCGTCCCCTTCTCCTCTTGCCTTCACACTTTCCCAACATTAAGGTCTTTTCCAGGGAGTCCTCTCTTCTCATGAGATGGCCAAAGTAAATGAGATGGCCACAGTAAATGTAGTCTATACCCAAACCTAAACCCTAACCAAACCCTCATTCTGGGGGCACTCTGAGAACGTGCCCAAGAGCACATAAGTTGGCTCTTATAAGGCAGAGTGGAGAATTAAGCTGCCGACCCCTGGTGAGCCAGGTGCTCTGACTCACTGAATGATTAATATGAGTGTGTATATTTGTACATGTATGTCTAGTGTAGCTGTGTTTTTTAAGGAAGAAGAGTGAAATGAGAAATCGCAATAGGAAATTCTTTTCTCATAATAAGATATGGCCCCTTCTGTACATTGCTCTGAAATATTGCCAGAGGGAGAAATTGCCTCATATTTCTGCTCCTTGAAGTACAGAGTTGTTGCATGCAGTGCCACCATTTTCCTACTCACATTTGGAATGACAGCTGAGCACAAGCTACCCCTGGCCCTTATCCTGTATGTTTTCCCATGGCTCAAAACATATTCAGTTCCTCCCCAGGGACTCCTAGTGAGGAATCAAGTATATGTGAGATCCAAGAGTCTTTTTTTAAACATAGAATTCAATGGAAATAAGCATATCAAAAGTGATAGCCACACAACTATGTGAACTGCCAAACATCTGTATTCCCAGTAGATGTGGAGGGAATGGCCAAGTCACAAAGCAGAAAGGAATATTTTTTTCTCGGGCTGAAAATGGAACAGCTGCTGAGGAAATCCCTCCCCTTCCTGGCAGCGATATGTCCATATTTACGGAATTGTGTTGGGGGTGTCACATTACTACTTTAAAGCAGCGTCTGTGCAATGGCTAGATAAGGTTTTTTTTTCAGTTGTCCTGCTGCAGTAGCCTTGAAGCATTAATGGATAAATAAGAATGGCCTTTTTGTTCTCTTTTTATTTTGCTGAGGAGTGGTGTCAGTGGTGTAAAACCTTTGGTTTAGAAGCAAAGGTTACTTTGAGACCTACATCATGAGAAGCCATCGTTTGTTGAAACCCACGTTGGTGTGGTTTGTGAACCTGCATTGGCTATAACAAGCCATATTTTATTAACAAACTACAAACCGTATTTAGGATGAATGTTTTTATGTTGGTTTCTCAACTTTGCCTTGCTTTAACTATGGCCCTAGTATCTTCATTCACCACCTTGGCTTGTCCCTATCTTGTTTCCTCAGCTGCCTATCCTGATGCAGGAACTGACAAAAAAAAGAGAGAGTTGGAGTAAAACAAACCAGAAAGGAGGGGTGGCAAGCCCTGGTTTGTTTGGTTGTCTGCAATGCAATTTTCATCTTAACTAATTCATGGTTATCAAAAAGTTTGTTTGTCATGACTTACAGATGTGCTCTGAAGATTATGGTGGCTGATTACAGCTTTTGTGACATCACAAGGACCTGCACTTTGATCCCTAATTTTGTCCCTGAAATTCCAGGGAATGGGAATGCAGCTTACACAGCAACCCTGGACTCTGAGAGTTGTTGTGAGGAATATAGAGGAGGAAACACGTTGCTGCTACTTGAAGCCCCTTAGAGATACAATGGGACAAATATGCAATATAAAAATCATAATAGATTGTTGTTTCTTACTCATGGCTTTTGCTCAAGAATACAAAGTGCAGTGCTGAACTTGATAAGTTAACAAGAGGGGCAAGCAAAATGTATATGTCCATAGTTCGTTATAATATACTTGAATTGTAACCCTCTTTAGCTATTCTCTAAGAATTCAGTTCAAGCTAAATCGTTGTTGTGCTGTCGCTTTTAGCAGGGTGTTAACAAGAGGGGCAAGCAAAATGTATATATCCATAGTTCATTATGATATACTTGAATCGTAACCCTCTTAATTAACTATTCTCTAAGAATGCAGTTCTAGCTAAATCGTTGTTGTGCTGTCACTTTTAGCAGCGGGACATTAGTTGAAACTAGGATGTAGAACGATGCCAATGGATGGGTACTGAATAAAGATTACTTATAGAAACACCACTGCTCATTTTGCATGCAGCTTGGACTTTGTTCTTTGGTCTCTATTTCCAAATTGGTTTTTTCTCAATTTCCAAACATCTCAAATTAACAAGGTGGGTTTTGTCGAAATGCCTGATTTGAATGCTTTGTGGCTGTTTTATCTTTCAGAAGCTGTCCTTGAATTTTCTGCTTGGGATTTTCACCATTGGCAAACACCATTGCCATAGCCATCCTGGCTCATCTGTGGCCAGAATGGCTTTATGCCTTAAGCAAGTTTTTAACAAAGACAAAACATTTCGTCCTCGGAAGAAATTTGAGCCAGGCACCCAGCGATTTGAGCTGTATAAGAAAGCCCAGGCTTCTCTCAAATCAGGACTAGACCTGAAGGCTGTGGTCCAGCTACCTCCAGGAGAGAACATCAATGACTGGATTGCAGTGCATCTTGTGGACTTCTTCAACAGGATAAACCTGATCTATGGGACCATGTCAGAGTTCTGTACTGAAAAGACCTGCCCTATCATGTCAGGTGGGCCCAAGTATGAGTACCGATGGCAAGACGATCACCGATTCAAGAGGCCTACTAAGCTGTCGGCACCCCAGTACATGTGCATGCTGATGGACTGGATTGAGAAACTAATTAATAATGAGGACATCTTTCCTACCAGGATAGGTAAGTGTACTATGCCTGCTGCCTAAGAGACTGCCTTCTGCCAAATCTGGCAATATGTGTGTCTGTATCCACAGCTACCTGGGGTATTCTGGGTGCTGTAGTTCAAGAAGACAAATCTGCATACCTTCAGTCACTGACTATTTCTAGCAATATGAGGCCAGTCCAAGGCCTGTGACCATCACCATGAATCTGCACCTGAGCTCTGGAAAATTTGTTTTTATTCCATTTATGACTCATAGAATCCTATAGCCCAGAGGTTCCCAACTTTGGGTCCCCAGATGTTCTTGGACTAGAACTCCCAGTAGCTTTCACCATTAGCTGTGTGGGCCAGAATTTTTAGGAGTCGTAGTTGTAGTCTGGGGACCCGAGGTTGGGAACCACTGGTCTAGCCACAGGGACAATAGCCATGGTAGTTCTGAGTTTCTAGGAGTTGCAGTCTGAAAAAGTAATTTTTAAAGCTCTGATCAATACTAAATCCAAGTAGTTTATCCTTATTTGGGAGTAAGTCCTACTGAACACATTGATAGCCTCACCAGTAGTCTTTATCTGAAGGCACTCAGTTTCTCTGACTCACATAAAGAAGAAGCCTCTTTTTTTATTCAGTGCTTGCCATAGGCAGGAGGCAGGACGTTGCCAGCAGAGATGCTCATTGCCTCGAGTTAGTCATGCTAGCTGCCAGCAGTGCAAAATCAGATGAGATGATCACCCCAAAAACACTGAACGGCATTCCTTTCTATTGAACATCAGAAACGGGTGAACTTCATTCATTCATTAGAAAGATTTAGGCTGCAGCCCTAAACCCACTTACTGGACTTAACTTTCCAAACACTTGTTTCAGAGGAAATGTGAAAAGGATTGTACTAGCCACCAATTATTTCTTATGTTCTGCTTCTATTCAAAATGCATTTCCTCAGAATACAAAGAGATTGCAGGAGGAGTGGCTTGAGTTACTATTGGATTATTTTCCCATTGTAAAGGAACAAATGCTTTGACATAGCATGTTTCTGGTTGTTTTCACAGCTGGCCAGCTTTGTAAATGCTTGGTTGTGTCATCACTACGCCCCCCTCCTCCCCCATCTCCTTCCAGAATTAATAGTATGTGACAATTGGCAGCTGTTTTGTGCCACTCCCATTGTGTTTGTTCACACACACACATACACCACTTCATACAGTTATTTATAGGAAGAGGCAGTTAACCATAGCTGCGTCTAGCGGGATGTAAAAAAAAAAATCATTCTATAACAGCAATTGTTCAGAATTATCGTCCCTTCTTTCAGTTGTCTTATAGTGATGAATATGAAGGAATTCCATTAGCAGGCTTAGTTTGAATGTATCAGAGAAACCTTGGCTTGGAAGGAAAAATCCTTTCACATGCTGTCCTGTAATTTATTTGTTCTTATTAATACATCACTTCTGCTGATTGGCTTGTCAGGTTAAGTGGTGCTTTGCAAACATCTGTCTTCAAGCCAGATGGCAGCCAGAATGTTCAAAACTGAATGCCATCCTCTGGTGTATTTTATTGCCCTACTCCATATATTAGAAAAGTTACAGAGAGACAGTAAACGGAGCTGGGCAGTATCTTTGTCAGTCGATCCTCCTTTTTAAAAGCAACCTTTTGGGTCCTTCAGAACTCTTTGGCAGGCTGGATGTTATTCAATTTAGGAGACGGGGAGAGGTGAAGGAAGCAATAGGGTTCAACATTTGTCTTCTTTGTGTGTCACAGCTTTGCAAGAGGTGGTTGCTAATGTTCCCTAAAATGGAAAACAGATCATTGTTGCTCTTAAAGTGTATCCATATGGAGCTTTAGTTTAACACCATAATGCTGGCATATTTCCACTGTTTGCGTAACTCAGGGCTGCAACTGATAGCAACAGAGTCAAAATGGGACAAAAAAATAGGGCACCCTTTGCATTCTGTGGTTTGTTACAACACTGCTGGATGGTGATGTAGGTTCATTCTGTGGTGCTCTGAATTGCATCTGCCCATATGGACCCTAGTACTGAGTTGTTATGGGTACTTCTGGGCACATATCATTAGATGATGTTTCCTTATGGGTGTGTTTTGCTGGTCAGTCTCCATCGCTAAGCGCCCTAGTGCTACTTCCATCTGTTTCTTTGATTTCCTTGGGATGTCAGCTGTTCTGCTCTTGGCTTGGCTTGGCTTGACTTCTCTCTCTCTCTCTCTCTCTCTGCACATTATAGATTTAGTGCTATGGCACTTTCAATACTGTAATAGCACAAAATCCTACAGAAAATCACTGACCCTCCACCCCTATTTGTTTTGTTTTTCTCCTTTTTGTTATGATTTCTTAACAGGCAACAACCTTTCCACAGTTCCTTCCTCCCACCAACTGGTCCCCATACACCTGAACATTTCACTGCTTAGGGATGTGTGTTTTTTTTATGCCAATCGCTGGCATTGATTAAACAACGTAGTGTAAAAACTCAAGGTCAAAAAATTAAAAGAGAAATATTGGTGATCTTTTATGGTGACATAGGTGAATAGCTAAGAAAGAGATGGCTTGAGAAGAGTTAGTAGGTAAAAGAAGGGGGTAGGGAGGAACGTCACATTGAGCAGAACGAAGGTGGAGAAGATAGGCAAAAGGGGAAGGCAGTCAATATTGGAAGTGAGATGCGTGGGAGCTATTTTGCCTTTGTGTGGGCGAATTGTACCAATATGACCTAGTACATCCTTGTAAATGCTCATCCATGTTATTGCTCAGATGATTTATTCAGATCTGCAGCAAATACAATGCCAAAATGACTCAGAACAACCCCAGAACATCCAGGGACAACACAACTGTGTGAATGAGCCACTTGTTTAATAGTTAACAAAAAATAGTCATGTGACTCATTCATAGGCCAAATTCCTACTAATATTTGCATAAGGTTTGCATAAGTTCCCACAGCTGATTGTGATTAATTGATAAGGTACCAGGATGTGTCTTGGTTGTGTGCCTGGTCATGTGCCCAACTGCATGACTGAGATGCACTGGAACGCTTCATAATTTAGCCACAATTAGCCATGAGAAGTTATGAGGACCTTAGGTAAGCTAAGATCTGGGTTAGGCAATAAATATGTTGGATCACTAAAAAGTTACAAAGAAAATGAGCTTCTGAGTCTAAAAAGGTGATTTATATAATTCTACAAGCAAAATAAATGGTTAACTAACATAAGCACATTCATCCAATTATCATCTTAATTGTATGAGGTTTGTTTTAGATCATTGAATTTCATTGTCAAACCTTTGGCAGAATCTGATAGACCAGATAGACAGTGAGACAAAAATATTATGTTATCTTCAATTCTTTTTAAAATATGGCTTAGCCTTCTAGATGTTGTTGGTCTTCTGTTCCTATAAACCCCAGGTAACCTTGTTCCTCCGTGCCTTATATTCCTCTCCCCTTGGTTTCACAAAGCTATAACTTGTAGCTGATTCCATGTTCATTATTGGGAAGCTAATACAGCCCACAGTGCATTCCAGGGGCCGAATCTTTTCCTCTAGACTCCTGGAACTTGCCCAGCCCTGCTCTATGACTCAGGCACAAACTGGAAAAGTTGCTGGGTTTGTGACTTCAAATCCCAGAGTGCCATACCCAGTTGACTGTGCTGCCTGGCAAATTCTGGGAGTTGTAGTTCAGAAGGTTATTATTCTGTACATTACAGATAGATGACTGTGTGGTGTATATGTTACTGAACTTTGGGCAGGGCAATTTTGCTGCCTGAAGCACTTCATCCGTTAGTTCCACCTACCCACCCTTCGGACGCCAAGGTTCATGGCACCTAGAATGAGCCAAAGTATTGTGGCACCACAGGCAGGAAATCCCACAAACACATCAAACCATCTCTGGCAGTAAAATACAGGAACAGCACAGTAAATAACTACTTGCTGCCCATGTATGACAACCTAACATTTATTCCCCAAAGCAACCCTCTCACTCTGGGGCAAAACTGGGCAGCCTCTGGCAGGATGTCTATAATCTTTCTTCTTGGTCCTGAATTATCAGTTATTGTGGGCCATGGTATCAAATGTTACAGGAAAATTTAACTAAATCAACAGGCTGAATTTTCTGCCAACACAACGTTTCCTCTTTTCATGGAACTGACCTCCCCCCCTTACAAGCACACAGAGTGAGTCCTACATCATCCACACACCATGCTGAGTAGATTCTAGAAACAGCACCTGAGATAAATCTGCTCAGCAGAACTGTAGTCAGTGGCCAGATAGCCTTCGAAAGTTTGAGGTTACATGAAAGGAGGATGTCTTGCTTATCAGATTTCCACCATACTTCCTGGCTGGGAGAAGTGTGCGATCTTCAGTCCTGTTACTGCTGTTCACAGTTCCTGCCTGCTAGTCTCCTATTGATAGTTTGGCTTCTTGTTTTCATTTTGTGTGGTAGAATTAGTTTTCAGACTCTTAATAATGAACCAGAATAGAAAATCTGGAGGAATTACTTACTAGAGCTCTCTCAGATTTTGGGGCTTAAATAAATCTCGTTCAATGGGTTAAGAAGTGCTGGGAGAAGGAGAACTGGTGGGTGGAAGAAGCGCAATTGGTATGGATGCAGCACCACACAATTGTTTGGAGCTGTAGCATTAAGAAACAGAACAGACACAAAGACATTCTGCTGCTGATAGAAGAGGGACAAGAAGACATTATTAATGTTGCTCTTGGGAAAAGCTGAGGATTATTATGCTTATTATGCTTTTTCAGCATATACAACCTTCTGTTCAGTTCTTTTCCATCATTATGCTACGAGGCCACAGTTGATGTGACATGAGGAGTATATTTAGTAACCACAGTAAGTGCTTTAAACAAAGTTTATGGAACATGCGGAGGGAGATTCTCACTGGCATGACAGGATGAGGAAAAGGGCCAGTTAACCATTTCCTGTCATGTCATGGTCCTGATTACCACACTAGCTCTTGCTCATGGTGCCTTCTATGAACTAGAGATGGGGAAAGATTCTGTTTTAGATGGCAGCTTTCAACACCACTACCACCCAGTGCAACTGCTGGGAGCTTTTGTTCACGCATGGAATTGTTCCAGTTGTTCAAGCATGGAATTTTTTCCTGTCTTTGCTATTAGACCTGGAGAGAAGTGCTCCCTGTTGTTAATTGCTTATATATGTGTATTTTTAAAAAGACAAATTGAAATAATGTTCCTGAAAGTTTTTTTTCCTCTTAAAGATCCCACCTACCACACAGCTCAATGAGGCAGACACTCAACCAGACCTTTACAAGAAAAGCAAACAAAATCTTCCAAAGGAAAAAAAAAGAGTGGTGCAGAGAATATTCACTGCCCAATACACACTTAAGGTTTTTTTTCCCCCACTTACCCCTTCCATGGAGCCAAGAAATAATTAATTTGACGGTATCCTGAAGTGACTGCATTATCAAAGCCACTTCATGATGTTGGCAAATTAATAGGAAGGTCTGCTTTTGGTCCTTTTGCAGTACTGTAATCACACACTAGAGCGATCCTCTCACACCAAAAAAGGAGGAGCCCCGATAGGGGCCAGAAAGGTAGGCATGCTCTGGGGGAAATTTGGTTTGTTCCAGCAATCATGTGTGGTTGCTGTAAAAATGAATGTACTGCCCTGGCCCCACAGTGATCCAAATCTCAGGCTAAATGCCCATCTGGCCACACCTTCAGATCTTTTTTTTCCCCTATGACTACAAGTGGCTGAAAGTCTTGTACAACTGGAGAACCGTCACATTCATCCTCTTGTAACTGCAGAGCTGGAAGGAACCCTGTGGATCATTGAGTCCGGCCCCTGTCAAGAAGGCGGGGGCGGGGGCGGTGGAATTGAACTTCCAGCCTTTGGCTCCATAGCCAGACATCTAAACCACTGAGCAATGAATACTTTCTAATTTTCAAAAGCCAGCTGTAGATGCATGAAATTAAATAAGTCATTCTAGTTCTGGCAGTGAATTTCATCACTAGTGAGCATTCATTGTTTTTTTCCACCTTCAATACAAAATGTTTTAAATCAGTATCCTCAAAGGAAGAGCAATCCGTGCTCTGTCACGCCATAATTTAGGCCACCCAGAGCCACCCTTTCTGAGGTTCTTTAAGTTCGCAGATTCTGCTGCAGTCTCTCTCATTCATGTACACCCACATGTTATTGCTCCAGACGCATAGCAGCAGCACTTGTTAACATCCCACACATTAGAACATCTGTGTCTCTTTGTTTGTTGTATTCTACAGGTACAATTCCATTTAGATGTTACCTTGCTAACAACCCAGGCTTCATTTAATAGGGCATATTAATTGATTTGCTAGGCTTCTTCTAAAATCCATGTGATGTGTAAGGAAAATGCAGCACAAAAGCAACAGTGAACAACAGGGACAGAAAATTTGGTGGTTGATAATATAAAATGTGTTTACTGTTTGCACATGCTGACAATGTTCAGAATAACATTCTGCGTTCTGAAGCTAAATGTGTAAGATACAGGTCCAAGAGCAGCTGCCACTCTCTTGACCAGAGCAGTGGTAGAAATCAGCAACATTTCCAAACCTGCTTGAAAATAAAATCCAGCCATGGGATTATTTCCATATTTATGGCATTCCTTTTCATCTCTGCAGTGCAGACAACAATGAAGCACATCTGGTAGACCGTTTAGACTCTGTTTCATTCCTTTCCTGCTACTCACTGCAAGTAAACTGCGCTCATCATGAGAATATGAAATTTCCTAATCTTGTCCCTTCTTGTCATCCTGGTCAGGGCCCAGAGTGAATAGTGTGCAGTACCATCCCTTGCTAAAGATGTCCTCTAGCTCCCTCTGGAGGTATAGCATTGCCGATTTGAAACCACATCTGTCGTGTTAAATACAGATCCCATAGAAATGCCAAGGATGCTTTTCATTCTGTAGGTTTTAGTACTGACATTCCTAAAGTCTATGGTCAACTCTGGATAATAATATACCTATGATTAAGAACTAAAATCCTGGTCATAAAACTGATGGAGTTCATAGTTCAGTAACAGAGCTTGACATACAGAAAATCTCATCTCTGGTTATATGCAGGTAAACATGGAGGGTAGCAGTCCGCTACCCATCATGATGGAAGATGAGGTGTCTACTGTGGATAGCCTGTTCCATATAAAACAGTGCCCTATGTCACAATCATTGTGGAAGACAGCTGTCCAGCTTCCAGAATCACCTTGTATGCCAACTTTTAACAAATTGATAGTCCACCTAAATTGCAGCCCCTCACACATAGATGAGAAGCTGTAGACCTTCAGATGTGTGGTTTGACTCCAGGCCCCATCTATCCTTGCCATCTTGTCCAGTAGTGAAGGGTGATTGGAGTAGTTCATCAACATGAGGGAGGGGAGTATAAGTTCCCCAGCCCTACCCTAGCAGATAATATCTAAAGTGTAGCCTACCTAAGTGCATGTGGAACAGATATAAGGTGATAACTCAAACACAGTAGCGAAGCTATGTGTAATGGAAGGCATCTGGCAGTTGTTCCTGCTTGTGAATCAGCACTCTTGTTAAAGCGGCACAGATGGACTGACCTAAGTAGATGCTTAATGTAATGCTGGATGCTTCCAATCTAAACCTTGCTTTCTTCCATCTGGCAGGTGTTCCTTTCCCCAAGAATTTCCAGCAAGTCTGTACAAAGATCCTCACTCGCCTCTTCAGGGTCTTTGTCCACGTCTACATCCACCATTTTGACAGCATCATCAGCATGGGTGCAGAAGCTCACGTCAACACCTGCTACAAGCACTTTTACTACTTCATCAGTGAGTTCAGTTTGGTCGACCAAAGAGAGCTGGAACCTCTGGTAAGAACATAGATATTGCCCTGCTCCTCACCTCTGAGCAAGAAGCCCCTTTAGTACACGCATGGGAGAGTTAAGGCAAATATCTCTAGCAGAGCTGCAGATGCCCCTTGTCCTTCTTGGAAAATCAGAGTGCTTTTTTGCTGCATTTCCTGCCCTTCCACCTCTCTGAGCCCTAGTGGGTATCACATTCGAAAGGCTTGAAAGAGATTCCCTGCTGTTTGGAGTGCCACTGGTTACTCTGTCTCAAGCAGTGAAATGTTTTGTGGTTTTGACCAACAAAGGTCAAAAACCCTTATGTCCTATTTTGAGTCATCTGTTCGTTCCTTCATATACTGTACTGTTTTAGTTATATATATGTTCTCCCTTCCCTGCTGAGTCCTCATGGATTCTTGGAGATGGTCCTTTCATTTTACGCTCTGTCTCACTCATGGAATTTAATGGGATGTCCACATATCATCTTCTTCCATTTGTAATAATCTAAGAGTTTCCTGTTGCTTCTCTGTTCTTTTTAAATTTTTCTTAACACAGAACATCTGTTATAGACTGAAAGAATAAGTGTGTAATATGTTCTGAGTGGCACCTCTAGGAGTTCCCATCTGGAAGTTCCCTGAAGTATGCAGAAATAATGAAGCTGTCTTTGTTTTTGTGGCTTGTCATGTTTCTAGCTCAGCAAAGCTACACAATTGTTAATTTATACAGTTACATTATCCTTGCTTGGCACACAAGCAATAGAAAAATTTGGGTTGCTATCAAGGCTAAGCTGCCGTTAGACAGAACCAGGTACTTGAGCTGGGCAACAGAGGTGGCAGCAAGATGTTGGAAGACAGAGCTGTGTGCCAGTCAGTACAGAATAGAATCCTATTCATTATTACATTAAAAGTACATACTAAGTTAATAAAGATAATTTCAAAACCATTAGAATTACAACAACCAGAACAGCCACCATTAAAAAGGCCAATAGACAACACATAAGGCCTGTTGAAATAAAAATGAAATTGCCTGCTGGCAGAAAAGCAACAGGGAGGGGCCAACCTAAGCTTCTTAGGAAAGGAAATCCATAGCCTGGAGCATCTGATGAGAAGGCCTTGTCTCATCTCCTCGCCAAAAGGTGACTGAAGGGATTATTGAAAAGATGATAGTTGTCCAAGCAAAACATGATCCATACCTACACAACAATAATCAACGGCCATGACCATGGATCAGCAGCATCTGCATATGATTACCTATAGTTAATTAGGGAGCTGTGTCAATTCCCAGCAGTTTATTACATAGATGCTGCAAATGAGTGGTGTGATAAATTTGAAGGAAACTCAGGATGAATCCCTTTGAGGACTGGATGCAGGCTTGACAATCAAGACTGCCATAGCTGAAATCCAGATCTTTCTAACCTGAGGATCCATTTATGTTAGTCGGAATTAGCCACCTCCTAGCTAGGATGGGGAAATGGATGTAACATTTCACATCCATAAGAGCAGTTCTATTTCAGTCGACTCTGTTGTTGTGATGTCTTATCATATGGCTTCTAGGCTGTGGCAATCTCAAAAAAGTCCTGTCATTGAAAGCCCTGCTCAGGCCTTTCAAAGAGCTCTAATGAGCCATGGCTTCCTTTATTGAATTAACCCATCTCATCTCCTTCCTGACTGCCTTCCATCTTACCACTTTTCACTCGAAGTAACATTATTGTCTTTTCCAGAGACTCTTGGTATGTCCAAAGTACAATAACCTCATCTGACCATGAAAGGTAATTAATGCTAAGGAAGCCAAAGAGTGTGAGAATAATAATTTTAAAAAATCTATACTAATCTAATGCTCTCCTCCTTTCTCTTAAGAGATAATAAGAACTAACAAAAGGAAGTTTCTCCATGGACATCCTTGCAAAGTGGTAATAACTCTCAGTGTTGGCTGGCTGTTTTTGAACCAAGGGGCCTCAAGTGATTACTTTTAAAGACAGAGATTTGTTTTAATTTCTAATAATGGTATATAATAACATGAAGAGTTGATTCTTATTCCTCTCCTGGCAGTTTCAAAATTACTTATATTAAACAAGTGTGTTTAAAGAAGGGCAATGTGAAATCTGTGCTCACTGGGCTTAATCTGGCCTGCAGAGGTCCTGCCTTGTATAGGCTCTGGTGGCAGATGAGATAAATCCCTGTTCCAGTCAGTGATTCAGGATAACAGCAGATTGTCCATATGCTGCTCTCCTTCCTAGTCATGGAGGTGGCACACTGGGCTGGCCACTTCTCTAGCTTGTGTTTGCAGACATCAGTGGACTGAGATGACCCTATTTCTCTCTCTCCTTCTCTATGATGGAAGAGGTAGGAGGAACATCTTGGATTCAATCACCCTATGGACTAGCTCCTGCTTCATTTGTGGACCTGATGATGTTACCTGGCCCATAAAAAGCTGTCAATGGGGAAACAATCCAACCCGATTCAGATATGGGGCTCTGCCTCTCTCTAACACATCAACTGTGAAACTGAGAACAGAAGATGCATAACACAATAACGAAATCCACCCTCTCCCTGTCTTGAGTCATGATGAGATCATGGTGCATGGCTGGGAGCATGGATAATGAAATAGCTTCTGTTAACTCTGGCAGGTTGTCATCCATAAATGCTGAGATGAAATGCTCAAAAGGGCCAATACTATCAGGTGTTATTAGAAGTCACAGGTATGAGGAAGGTGCTCTCCACTGCCTAGAACAGCTGCACAAGACTATTTCCTGTTATCTGAAAGAACACCCCACCTCTGAGTTGGATCTCTGTTCTGCAAAATTAGGAAACAAAACCCATCCTTTCTGTAACTGATCTGGCTGTCAGTAAAAGAGAAATATTAAAGGTTTTGATTCATTTGTAGTTTATGCCTCCATAACCAGCTGCAGTTGTCAAAATTGCAGCTGTCACAACACAGCTATGCAGGAATCTTCCTGTCTTTCTTCATCTAGTCATTCCACCTCAGCTCACTTCTTTCCGACAATAATGGGAGACTTGGGTTGCCATCAGAAGTGTACATCTTTGAGACTAAGCCCCTCTATGCTGATTGAATAGCTTAGTGGTTTAGGTATCAGGGTGTGGAACCAGAAGTTGGAGTTTGAGTCCCCACTGTGGCTCCTACAAGTAGACCCAGCCTGTGTAGTGTTGGGCAAGCTGCTAAGCTCCTAAGAAGGAGGGAACAGTCAACCCTTCTGAGTATGGTCTACCTGGAAAACCCTGAAAAGGGTCACCATAAGTCAGAATTCTTTGCAGTATATGATTATTATTATTAAGTCCCTTTGGATATAGTGGGATTTATTTTTGAGTAATGATGGTGCTGTAATTGTTTCCTTGGGGCTTGATTCTTCTTCTGGATGTTCACCTAGATTCAGGATACAGTTCTTATTAGTGCCTCTTCTTTTCTCCTGGCTCTGGCAGGTTCCTTTCTATTTATTTATTTATTTTTATTTATTGATTAGATTTTTTTACCCCACCCCTTTAGACAATGTCTACTCGGGGCGGCTTACAAAGATAAAAACACATTGATATAACATGTATAAAATCATAAAAAATACAGTAACAATTATAACGATTAATTCCAAAACAATACATTATCAAGACGGCCAAAAAAAAAGCTTGCAGGGAACAGGATGTGGCAGCTTCTTATGCCTCAACAGTAGTGTAGAAATTAGAAAAAAATTTTTACTGTCCAGTGAATTGTTGAATCCTGATTTCTCTGCAATCTCATCTTTGAAAACCTGAATGAAATGTCATGTTTCTTACTAGCCTTTTGTGACTGTGGAAAGAAATACCTGTAGTTGATCTTCATGAAAGGAAGCTCTGCCACTTAAATGACTGGTAGAACTTAAGAGAGACAAGAAATCTTCAGAAATCTGTGGCCACCTTGATTTAATGTCTGCACTCCCTTTCCCTCAATATTCCACATAATCTACCGAGAGAGAGAGAGAGAGAGAGAGAGAGAGAGAGAGAGAATGGTTGTTTGGCCCTTTTAAGAGGGACATGGACTTGGGATTTGGTACCAAAGATTTGGATAGAGATTCGGGACTCTGACCCAAAGACTTCCCAACATCCCTGAGTAAAACTTAAGCTGTTGCTCCTAGTAAACATGGGAACTATGTTTCTACCCACACAAATATTACAACTAAAAGGAAGGGCTGAGTATGAGCATTTACTTCATGTTTCAAAATAGTGCTGTGACTTGGAAAGTTCATTATTTTTTCCTGTATACCTGCTGGCATTATGCAAAGTGTTCGTATAATTTGCAAAAATCCTTGATTTGCACAGAATGCCCCTCTCCACATTTGCCGAGAATATTTTATTGCAGCCTTTGCGTCTTTGTTTGTACCTCAGCTGTGGGTGACGTCCCTTTTTATTCTTGGCTGTTTAAAACTGAACGGCTTAACTCTGTTGGCTTAAGACTAATTTTAGAGACAGGTCTCTCAAGAAAACAATAATTTGTTTTACTAAGGTTAACACATGGTTGCAGGAAGGAGTAACACCAATGAAGTCTTAGATTATTTCTGGGAAAGAAATAATGATTTCTCAGCATAATCAGTGTCGTTTGATGTTTTAAAAAAGGCCTCCTTGTGTGTGTCAAGAGAAAAATCGGAGGAAATGAAAAGTGCAGAAGTACCTCCCAAAAGTTAGAGAAAAGAGTGAAGATAGGGAAATTGGAACCTGAAGTGGGAGAAAAGTGTTAGAAGCCTCTGGCATAAAATGAAATATGAGCAGAATTCCAAGACTCATTTTCACTTAAGCTTCCATATCTAATTTTTTTTCCATGTAAGAAAATCACTGAGGCTCTAATATAGTAATTCAGATTACTCAAACTGGACCTATTTATGCTCTTTGGAAAATGCCTGCATCATCTTTGCATGTGTTCTGTCTTCATCTTGGATGGCAAAATGCAGCCCTGTCCTCAGATGTCAAGCCTTTGAACAAGGCACATCAGGCAGTCTCTAAGGATGTGCTAACAAACTGGAGCCATTTAGAACTTTAGTTGCAGTA